GGGTTGTTTTACGCCCTAAATTGTTAGACATAGGGCTGTGCCTCATTCACTCCATTTAATATTTTCTATATACTGAAGGTCTTTTGTTTTAATCATTATGCGTCTTGATCAGCAAGAGCAATAAATCACCATTAAAGTTCATCAAGAGGAACTTCCCTTCAAAATATCGTTTTATCGATGAATATGCACTATTAATAGAGTATGTAGAGAGAAGGAAATTCTTATGTCTGATGGAATGCAAGACAGTGACTGTGACGGTGGTCTATTTTACGACCAATGAATACCTTTTTTTTATTCACTTCCTGCAAACACATTAGATTTCCTTCCCATCCATTTTTTGTATTAGAATGAACCGCGCCATAACCTTGCTTCAACCTCACACATTAAACAATTTAATTACATCTTTAACCTTAAACATTTTCTATCCACTTTAACTAATAAAACCCATAAAAAGTATCCTTAAGAGTGAATCATAAATATATATACAGAACAGATAAAGAAACGTCGCAAAGCACAGAAAATAGTGAATTGCTTATTCAAATTTCAATGACACAATAGATAGTGTCATAAATCAACCTTATTTGGCGCAAAGGATTGTTTGAGTGTGTTTCAAGTTATGGTTGTAAGTTAGTATATGTTGTGTCCACCTTGTGCGTTGATAACGGCCCGGCATCTTCTGTACATGGAGTGGCACAAACGATTTACAGACGCTATCGGGCCAGGGCCATGGCATTACTCTGATATTATGATGTTGGAGGAAGGTTCTGGTAGCTATAGCAGTGTGCGAACGGGCGTTGTCAAGCTGGAAGGTGTGGTTTCGGCGTTTTGCAAAATGTGATACAGCGGGAGGTAGAACCTGGGCGATGTTACGGGCGGCTGTGACTCCATGGCCTGTGTCTGGGACGATATTCTGGAAGACAACAGATCCAAATTTCTGATTGATACTAATTGCACCCATTACCATAATTCTTGGTCCTCCCCACGGATCTCTTTCAACCACACACTGTTCTGTGAAACGTTCACCTCTTCTTCGCCACACTCGTACTTTGTCAATTGCGGTGGAAATGCAGTACCTACTCTAGACAGGTTCTGGGGGGCGAGTCGTGAACGGTATCAGCACTGATGGGTTGTTGATGGTGGCCAATGATCACCACTTGGACGGTCATCAGTGCTGTTACTGGTGTTGTAACGAATCCGAAGTCTCTTAATGGTTCGTACACTACAGTTAAATGCATTGGCAATGACTTGAGCACGTTCTCCGACATTTAATCGTCCGATGGCTAGTTCACGTTGTTGGGAGGTTAGACGTGTCATGAGCTCGCTGTCTTCACAGCAACTGAATTCTCAGCAGGCGTACAGAACTCTGATATGTGTTGCACGTGCATTTCGATTTTCCTCACTTACAACTTGCCCCCACGGATATCTGACAGTTCCCAAGGTTCACAATTCTTAAAGTGATACTAGGCCTACGTCTTGAACTGAACATTATTCCTCAAGAATGGTCAATTTGAGTATATATCAGTGAACTTACCTGGTGTCATAAAGTTACAACAGAATCCCTGTAAAATCTAGAAAATTGGAAAATTCATAAAACTATGTAAGTATTGAAAAACCGCTTTATCTTGATTTTTCAATACTTAATTGCATATTTATGGATAATTACTAAGTTTTTTGGATTTATCGGATTATATAAGGATCCTGTTATTTATGAATCAATGTTAGAAGATAAGAACGTAGGACATCCTAGCGCTAAGATCGTTTCGAGAATATGTGGCCAGGTATATCTACTGATGAATATATGCTCTTATTGGCCAAGTGTAAAATTCTAAAATTTTAAATAGAACGCAACCGATATTATCAGTTGAATGTCATAAATTGGTCTAAAAATCATATTTATAAAGAAAAATCACCATTTTGATTGTGCACGACTTTGTCCAAATAATCTAAATATGCGACGTTTCTCTATCTGTTCAGTATATATACTAACAAACTAACATGCTTACGAATATTCATCAAATTCCGATCAAACTTCTTTTTTCATTAACACAACAGATACACAATAGAGACTACAGTTTTAGCTGATTTTAATGAAATTTGGAGTTGTCATTATTTTGATAAGGTCTTGGTCAAGTTCGAATTTGACGATTTTTCGATGAAAGGTTTTTGAGTTATTTCCCTTTAAGTAGTTATTTATTATTGTTTGTGAACACAGTAGAAACAGTTTTCATCCGATCTAAATGAAATTCGGTGTTACCATTTATATTGCGATCTTGGTCAAGTTCGAATTTGACGATTTTTAGATGAACGTATTTTTGTTTAGTAAGAACACAATAGAAACTACAGTTTTCATCTGATTGTAATTAAATTCAGTTTGATCATTTATAGTGATGTTTATGAACACAATAGAGGCTACAGATTTTATCTGATTGTAATGATACATTTAAATTATGTGGCATGTGAACGTGATAGAGGTGACTGTTTAAGTCAGAATTTAAATCAACAATATCTTGGATATATATATATCTTGATATAGTGAAAATTTATTTGGGAAGTGAGCGCATCTTGCTAGGCAACAACTTGTTCAAAAAGTCGTGAAAATTAGACCATACCAAAATACCTAATTGTCAAGGACAATACCCATGATCCGTTTTACAAAAACTCTTGGAAATAACACTCATTCGAGTTTGCATCAATATACATTCATTAACCCGATCTCAACTGTAGAGGCTGCCACCATCATAAGCTATTTTTGATATACATGTACATTTGGCTAAACCCCAAAGTTGACAATTGCGCATTATATAATAGCATCAGAAGTTTTTGAAAAGAAAATCGCAACTTTATTCTCAATTGTTTGACGTAAAGTTTTCTAATCAGGAAAATAAAACAAACCCAATTTTGATTATATCAATGGGCAATAACTCATAAACGGTGAAAATCGAACTTGATGATAACATACTTAAGTATAAAAATGACAGACGGACGAGGGTGACGCCCATGTATATATATATACATTTATAATGTGGGGGTATTCTATTGAACGGTTTCGAAATCATCGTTTTAATGGACATGTAGACCGAAACATCTGCCTCTATTCCAGCCTCTGACAGCTATTTTGAAAGTTACCTATCAGAGACTGAAATAGAGGCAGATGTTTCGGACATGCTGCTCCGGATGGAAAAAATTGCTTAAAAAACGTCAAAAGGGCTTTCAAAACATTCATTGATCCTAATCAAAACAAATTTGAATGAGAAAACTGCTTATAATTCAAGGGAGATAATATTATAATAAATCTTCTTTTTAACTTGATGGGAGAAATCTCTTAAAAATATTAATCATAATTAAATTCTAAAATACCATTGTAATTAAAATTCAAACTTCTCCACAAAAACATAAAACTGTAGGCCTATCGTAACCACGGTAAATATTTACTAAGATAAGTAATATGAATTCAATCATTAATATCTAAACTTGGCTCTAAATGTCAAGAATACAATCACTTTTCTTTATATCAGTAAACTAAGCTTTGTAAATTTGGATCTTTTGTAATTAAATCGTTAATACCCCAGTGTCAATACAGTAATAAAAGAATATTGATAAAACGAATCTATGTGTGGTTTGATCAAAGAACTATTCTTTGTATGATTAAATTGTTAAACACACTGATAAACATCGTGTGTGCCCTAGGAATGATTTTTGTCTTTCAGTTTGAAATAGTCTAATGTGAATAAAACCATCTGTTATGAACTGCTTACGTACTAAAAACTCCACCCACAGTTTAGCGAGCCACACCGGTAAGCAGTAGAACGTATTTTGCGCAGAGAAAGATTTTATCGTAAACTTTGATTCTGGTGATCCCGTGACAAGCATTTTATACATTAATTTAAATATTGAAAACTGAAAAATACAAATAGATGTCGGTCACCCTCAAACAAAGACTTATGTTAAGCAATAAAACAAAACATCAATCAGCTATTGGCGTTATACCTACATGTATACATTTCTTGATTTTTAAACACAACGCCCAATTCTTGGCATAACTAAGGACATTCCTTCAATAAGGAGTCGTCGTGGTTCAACGAAGATGTCGTTTATTTATTTTTTTTTAATTTCGGTATTTTTAAAGGTGATGATTTCGGATGGTTTTTTTTAACCCGATTCTTCGGATTAGCGGGACTGATGTAAAAATGCGTCGATCTGTTCGAAATGATTGAACATCAAACGACTGCAGCCGGTTTGTCTTTATTATTAATCAATCCTTATTTTTTGATAAATGATAGTTATCGGCGCTACTTCACTTATGTACCTCTTTATGATTTAAATTTTTTATCCACTAAAATACGTCAGGATGATGTTCTATAGACCCTATTCTGAGTATTCTCACCAAATTTCATCTCAATCGGATAATTTTTTCTGCTTTAAATCGATTTCTTTATCATAAGAGGTACATAAGTGAAGTAGTACCCAGTGGACGTGCATTGAAGAAAACTTTCTGAGACAGTGGTATTAATGTCCACTTTTCTTCACTGATATAATACTCACTATATAGTCGACTATGAAATTCTCATGCATATATCTTATCTTTATCACACATTTAAATATATTTTATTGCACTTAAATAATTATATAAATAGTAAGCATAGCTTCTTTGTATCTACAAACAAATTATAAGCAGGGCGCAAAACTCCCAAGGAAATTTTATGTATTGCATCTATAGTATTGAAATTAGATCAAACGTTCGTTCCATTTTTGTGTTAGCTTTTTTTTAACTGAGCCACTCCTGTTAAGGTCTAAAGACCTTTTACCTAACCTGAAGACATCTGCTTTAGCCAATCGAATTACACTTGGCTTATTCAGAAAAAATTGATTGTCTGTGTCATCAAACAGATATATGGCGGAGTATTTGGACCTTAACGGGAGTGGCTACAAAAATTAAAGGTAATAAAATAGAAAGAAAGTATGGTCTAATTTAAATTAAGCTATCGAATAATCAATATTCGTTAACAAAATTGCGAAATATCAATTTTCTCAGTGCTTTCCATTGTTTGACTGATCTTCTTCACAGCTTTAGACATTTTCTTTTCCGGCGTCTTACCCGTGCTTGACGAACATGGTTTGCTTTCATCGACGTCATATCCGGTTGGAATTGCTTCCTGATAACCTGTCATAAACATGGTCAGTTTTCCTGCGAACGGTGCCCCAGAATTGGGTAGAATTTCTCCCGGCATCTCTTCATTTCCACTTGTTTTAGGACATTCATCTTCAATCTCGTCCAGAAGAGATGAACTCATTTTATCAGAGCGACCAATTAACCAGTAAGTCTTGAGAGAGCCTTTACCCTAAAAAGATAATAAACATTAACACTAGTGACTATTACTTTTGAATGGAAGTATGCACTGATTCACTTGGTATATCTATGTTATAGTCTGGAAGGAGAGTTAAACTTGGATGAAAATTGAATGTGGAACTGTTTTTGAAAAAAAAACAACCAAACTATTTTCATAAAACAAGGGTTATTCTCCCACTTATAGCAATACTGGACAACAGCAAGATTGATTTCACAATTGACTTGACTGTCATAATTCTCCGCCCCCTGATCCACGTTACAGCACCCCTTGTTCAATATTACCCTGAGACTTTATAATAGACCTAACCGGTGGCTAGGCGACGAAGGTACATCATCTTCAGAAAGTAACAATGATTTATTTATGTATTGTCAACGACAAATGTAAAGCTATTAGGTTACGATTTGATTGGATTGTATGCCAATATTATGGCTCAGGAATAGCTCGATATGGTGAAGATGAGTCAAGAGCTGATGTAAGTGTTTTACGATCCATGTATTTATTATGTTATTAACAACTTACCTTAACTTCAATATTACCACGATGTTTCATCACAAATACGCCATGTTTCTTTAGAGATTTGTAGGTGCTGGAACTCACATGAATTTTATTGGCTAATATTGAAAGATAAAATTCGATAAGAAATATTGCTGTATTTACAGGGTGTAACCTAATATGGGAGAACAATTGTTTTATACCCCAAATTGTAAACCCACTTTATGTCTAACTAATTTAAAATATGCTTTTCACTATTTGCCTCAAATCAATTTCATGGGGAGAACACTCTCAGACGTTCTATTGTTCTATGGAAGGTTAGCGAATAATGTGCTACCACAAAGCTGCTACATTTTGCAATCAACCTCGACAGTAAGTTGTCAGGCTGTCCCCTATTTGTACCACCAGTCTCTTGAGGCTGGAACCGTCACTGAATGGTCTACTTACGATGTCCGTAGCTTTTCATCCGCGATGCTGTATTAACCGTATCACCAAATAAACAATACCTAGGCATAGTTAATCCAACAATACCAGCCATACAGGGTCCTAAAAACATCGACAACATAATTATCTCCTATTTCAATCTCTACAAAATAGTTTATTAAGTTCAATGTACTTGAATTTTTTTCTACAATTAATGCTATTCAGATTCAGATTCCAGCTGAGAATGAAATAGATCAAATATTGATTAACCAAATTCCCCTGACATGCGCTTGTAAGAGTGAATCTCTTCTGGTCGTAAGGAGGGCAAATACCCCATTCAATTGGACATATATGGAGGATCGACCTCCATCATACCAATTCTAATCTATACAACCCACATGCGACCTTCACATGGTTGTGAAGGTTTTGGTTACCTGTATTTATGCCAATTCTCAGCTGTATAAATCTAGTAGCATCATGGGAGAAAGCTCTGTGTGTTGTCATATCCATTAATTCACACGCCAAGGCCGCTACTTCTAAAGAATGGCGGTTTCCAATTCTCGTTGGTAAGCCTGAAATATTGTTTGAAATTATATAGAATTATCTGGTATCTGTGTTTGTGCATTCAACTTGTCCATATAAAGGCTACAAAATCTTTTTGAATACATTTTAAAAAATAAACTGTTTATCAAATTCTGTTTATATTGATTCCTTAGTTTTTTATATTTTGCCAGAGATCGTTGAGATCAATATAGTCCTACAGCGTAAATCACAATAATAACTCAATTATTAAACAGATACTGCACCTGAAGCCACCATGTAAGAATCGTTGATTGTTTCCACTTTGTAAACCTCGTGGTTATCCAACTTCTCGTCGAAGGCTGTGTACAAGCTATTCAGCAACCCTACAATCTCAAATGGTGTACACTCATTAGCTATCCTAGTAAACCCGAATATATCCGAAAACATCACCGTCACAGACTTGAAATATTCAGCATCTACTTCTCGTCTGAGTTTAAGCTGTTCGGCCACTGGTTTAGGCACCATCTGATAAAGCAACGTGTCAGTTTTCTTCTTTTCTCTGCTCAGTTCTTTAGTCTTCTCCACAAGAGTCAAAGCATATTTCTGGATGTCACTGGTCAGAGATTCAACAGAGTAGATGACTAGAGGACACATCAAGATAACAACTACAAGTAAACCAGCGCTGAAAATAAACAGGAGGATTAGAACCGAGATCAGAAATTGACCAAAACGGCAAAATATTGTTTTATTTTGCTTCTACCTGATTTATTTCCATTTATATTCGGATGCCTAGAAAGACAACAAATGATCTTGTAGTGATCAAAGTCCACATGGGGCAATCTGAATGAGACGCCCACGTTTCTTTTCGGTCATGAACGTTTGCTGCATAATCAACGAGCAGTGTAAGTGGGCATCTATCAATAGATTCAAGTCCATTTTGTCAATTTTTATTACCTAATAATCAAATTTCGCTCTTCTTCGTTGATAATTTCTTCTAATTTGCCGTTAATCAGAGTGGCTAAATCTTGTTGAATGACTAACAGAGTATCTAGGTAAAGCGTCATATTATCAAACCACCATTGTCCTGAAATAATAATAGACAACTAATGGAATACTTCTTACAAGCGAAGCTCTTGACCATCAACCAAAACTAAAAATAAAATAGAATTTTGAGTATCTATGTTCTGCAATGTAAACTGTATTTACAAGATCATTTGATAGCAGCCCATATGGTGCTCTCGATATAAATTCTAAGGTTTAGAAGTTTGTGATATTCTGAATTTTTATAAGCAATGTAAACTTATTGAGGTAAGAAATACAATAAGTTATGCGCACCTTTTGTTATGGAAAAATCGCGTGATAGAGTATGCTGAATCTCAAACCGGAACTTTTCAATCACGGAGGTTAAATTGGTCCCACTGCTGGTTACACCTTCTTGAAAAATAGGATCAACGATTTTAGAATACAGTACAGCAGATTGGTAGTTGGCTTTGTAAACATGAACTTTTTCATTGTATCTTTCATAAACACTCTGTTTTGGAAAACCACCAGCGACATAAAACACGGCACCCAAAGCACGTTCAATACCAACGTGTTCCATTCCAGTTACGATCTTCTGATAAGCTACCAATGTCTTCCAAATCGAAGCCATGTTGGATTCTCGAATAGCTTCATACATCCATTCGACAAATCTCTCAATCAACAGTGAATAAAACTCCATCTCAACATAGATATCGAAGTTGTTAGGGTCAAGTTCTGCTCTGTGGTTACTGAGGTAGTTCTTGAAGGAGTCCTTCGTTGTGAAGATGCTGTTTTGATCACCTTTCACGGGCCAATTTGACAACTGCTTCAGCGCTTGGTCGGTCAAAAGGTATTCATTTAGTATAAATGTTTTAGTTTCTGGACCAAGGATACTTAGATACAGGACGGACATGTCTCTTTCTCTCTGGAGTCTATCAAGAAATTTTCCCAATTCTACACTAAATTTTACTGCATACTGAGTCTAAAATGGAATTTACAGATATATTAGCTAAGGGGAAAATAGCTACATAGTGAATTACACCAATAACCTGAGCCAGTTTTTTCATTACTTTAATTCTTTAAATAAAAATAACAAATGTAAAATAGGTTATAAGGTGTTCACAGAGAATAGAACAAAAAGAAAAAAAAGAATTTTGTGTCGAATAATCTGAAATCATTATCGCATGTCTGAACTAGTTCCATAGTCGAGTTATTACTGAATTTAATTGCGTCTCTCCGCATCTCATTTTAAAACGACAATTCACATACGAGTTATCCAAAATAATGTCATCAAATGACATCCGCCCGTAAAAATAGTTTTGTTTCTCCTTATTGGCATCTAGAAATATTCCAAGATCAAGATCACTGAAATTCGATTTATTATCAATTTTCAGATAGCAACTGACTTACTTTATCGAGCTAATCAAAGACAATCGATGGACATTGTCCAACTTTACGACCATCCATTAATAACAGCTACTCAAGCGAAATAATTATTGAAATTTGTATTGTTTTTCATACATTACTAACAGGAAAACAACTGTTTATGTAGCAACTAATCCAACAGTCCAGTCAGTTACTAGACACATCTGTCAATGCAAATTAATTGTCTCAATACTATTTTTGAACGCATACCAACAAGTATTACCGAAGAACAATTGTCAAACTGTGCAATACAATTAGTTACTACGCTCACCCTCCCAAAACCACTTCGGTCGCCCTGCGTCAACTCGACCCCATCATAGTTTCCGGTATCAATCAATTATTGAACCAAATAATATCTATTTCTAAACTTAAAGAAGATATTCAGTCTCAAAATGGCACTTGAGTCTATAACGAGAAGACAGAAATGTGGAGAAGGAAGCATTACCTGTTCAATGGCTGTTTTGCCTTGAATACTGTCAGATAAACTGTACACAGTGAAAGCCCATAAACCAAGAATAGGAAGCAGAGTTAGGGATAAAATCTTCAGCATCTGTACCTTCTTACCACGATTAGTTAGAGGTTCTCCTCGACAAAATCCAACTGAAATTGATAATTCATGATTTTGAAGTGTGATTTTGGTATTTGTCAATGTTTGAACACTACAGCAGATGAAAATAATTGCCAACTGTAGCTAACGTATGACCAAATTTGAAAGTTTTTTAGAGTTGCTTTACCTATTCGCACGAACAGATAACTTATAAGCGTCACATTTCAAAATTGGCCATTTTTTGACAAAAACTCAAAACTTGTAAAAATGCAGTCGACGTACGTTATAAAAACATTTTAAGAGTCTTTTGATAGCAGAAGGTTGCACTTTCAACTGACTTTGGTCAAATGGAGATTGGTTATTACGATTATATATGGACTGTAATGTATAAGTGCTAATAAGTACTAAACGGTCGTCACGGGGGTCAATAAGACCAATAAAATGATTGATTAGAAACAAACTTCGAAGTTATATTGTAGCTCATCAGTTTATAATCGACAAAACCCCAACAAAGAGCATGTCATCAATTAGGTATTACACTCCGACATATTACAAGATAATAAAGAGACTTACTGCCACCAACATGAGGATGAACAATATCTATAATATGATTATCTATACTAGCAGCATCACAATCTCCAACGTTCTAAAACAAATTGTTCAGGTCATAGTAAGCAATCGTGATAAGCATACGTGATCGGCTTCAATATATTCCGATCCAAGTTACATAATTTTGAAAAAAGCAGGAAGGTACCTAGTCATATTTCTTTTTAAATATCACAAAATGATCAAAATTCCCGTGAAACCTAGTCAAGGTGCTCCTTTAGAGCGTGAAAGGACCCAAAAGAGAGCATTGTTACTTTGCAAATGGATACTTATGTATTAAATGGAACTTACCAAGTCTAGTACAACTGGCATTACTGTTTGAGCCGTTTCTTGTGATCCTCCAGTATCCAAACGGAATGGTCGTGTTACGGATGGTGCTCCGGTAAAAATAGACGGATTGTCCTGAGTTTGTTCCTTCGTGCCACCTTCCATCATACTAAAATTATTAAAAATTACTTCACCGGGAATGATTAAAAAGCTGTACCACTGCAGTGTTTCTTTTTACCACTACTAGTTCATCACCACCAAACTGAACTTAGGCTTCAAATAACAACCCTGGTAGTTTATGTAACGGCCTGTGGTACTCAAAATCTGCTATCAGTAAAAGTGTCTCTATGACTAAAAGACTCGGACATGTATACGTCCTGTCTTCGTAAGAAAATTAACGGCATCACTGACTATCGCTATGGTTATAGAAATTCTTTTAACACCATATAATTGAAGGGGCAAACTGTCATAATGTTCTCTATTTTAGGTGTTGAACCTCGCGTCAATTAATAAACAAACAGTGTACTACATTTATCCAACAAACAATTGCTCCTTATGTAAAATTCACTTACCAAGCAAGTTAAGCCCGTATTCACTCACCCATCTTTTTTTACAAGAAAATCACGACTTGCCGAAGGACCGGAAGTACTTTTCTTCTTCATTTACGATTTACCGACAACGCAATTTAGTTTGTTATGAAATAAGGCTTATATTTTCTATAAGGGATTGGATCGTCTGTTTGACAAAGGTTTAGGTTCTATCCAACTGGAAGCTGAAAATTTCAACGTTTATTTTTTGTATAAAAAAATCAGCAAGATGTTTTAATACACAGAAAATATAAAAAAATGATTTTTAGATTTCAACCAGTGAGGACAATTATTATATGCGAGTGTGAAATAGGTGTCTTATTATCAGGGACTATGTCTCCAATCACAGGTATGCATTATGTAGTCATGGATACCTGGACGCTTTCATTAATAGTTTTTAAATTGTCTTTTAACCCACTGAGTGATATGTCATACATAACGAAGCTATTTTAAAAGTTAACTGTAAACTTGCACACCTTTCATTGGCACGAGCCTTGAGAAACTCTTGACAGTTGAATGTTGAATCTACCTTGGAAATTAATGTAACGGACACTTGTGTATTCTTGGCCATGATTGCAACATTGCGAGGTGAATATAGTCCATGAGGCATTGGAGGGTAAATCATAATATGACTTGTATACTACGTGCTTTATAATGATAATCTGTTGACCAATAATAACAATAATGCCATGTTCTTTTTATAAAGCTTTGATTACAAACGTTAAAACTAGCAAAAATCTCGTGATCACGCAACTTGATATGCAAAAGGACCCATTTTAAATCACGAAATTCAGCCTCCTGTAAATTTTTCAGAAATCTCATTGAAAACTTTACAATGTATTACATGAAAACCTGATCAATACTTATTGCCTCATCAAAAATTCAATATAATATCATGACATTAAAAATTTTAGTTCAGCAAATCGAAATTAAACCATTGCCGGATGTAAATACAGGAAGCGACAATGTTCATATTTATTCTTCCGCATCTGAATATTTTCATATTTCCCAAAATCTGAAAGAAATGACAAATTTCAGACATCAAAATCAAAATCTAAACCACAGAAACTAAAAAGGGATGGAAAGGGAATCGTAAAATACCAGGGACTACATTCGTATACGTGTAAGTGATCTGCATCAGTTAAGTTTGGGTAAAAATGGCTGACATTCAGTATGATATGTTGCAGAGCTTTAGCGGAACTTTCGCGGTGGACCGTTTCAATACGCGTAATTAGTATTGACGAGTTTTATGTAATTCAGGGGCAACAACTCCATAGTCATTCAGCATACTTCAATATTGTATTGTTTTACTTATTGGTTTAAATAAATTTCATATAGATTTTCAATCAATATGGATTACAGTTATTTGATTTTTCTTTATGAAGTAAATAAGGAAAAGATCAATAAATTAGACCTGACAATTTTAACCTCTGTTATACCTAATGTAACACAAATCTATATGCATATATTTATCCGAGGTTTTAATCTTTATTCTTAATAGGATGATAAGATTTTAGTTGGGAAGGAAAGATAACATACGCGGCCTTATACTTTAAATCTACTGTCTTCGCACGTTCGTTATATCGAATTTCACCGATTATTTCATTGGAATTGGAATATCGGCTTTAAAATATTACTGAAAGTATTAGATTTCAGGGAAGGGAGTGTTTGATTCTCCCAAATGTACAGGCCTAGAGTGGAACAGATACTTTATTTAGAAATTGGGATTAAGGCTCCTGATGCTGGGTTTTCTTTTGTTCTGATTCTGAGCTGAAATTAGAAGTATCTGTTCTGTACTGGTTGTTTTTAGTTTACAATGAACAATATTATCATTTAAGTTCTTATTTTCCTAAAACGAACATTATTGTAATAGGCTGATATTCAAAGTCACTCTAATAAATTTGGGTAATTCAAATAAACCAAAGTCTTTGCGATTGTCGATGTATAGCTGATCGAAATATGATGCTACTAGTGTCTCCGGTACACATAAAAACTTTAGAAAACCTCTTTATAATCCCTTTAACGTTAACTTGGGCCTTACTTGGCGTTCCACCCTTGCTGCAAGATGTGATTGCATGGTACAGATTTGATGTGCAGTAACCCTTTCGCATAGTTTTTAGGATATCCGGGCTTATCAACGCTTGTTCATATTCAAATTCATACGACAACTATTATTATTTTTAGTACAAGTAATGGCAAATCATCATCAACATCATCATTATCGTCATCATGTTCATCATTCTTATAAGATTATCATATATTGAATTCGAGAATTTGAAAAGCAGATCAAAACTAGATCATAGACTATTTATAGCTTTTTTGATTTACCAACATCAAAAGTAGGATCTTCATTCATATTTTATCGACATATTGAGATTGATTTTTACTTTCTTTAAGAAGTTGTTTGTTCGTAAAGTAAGTAAGGTGTATTGAGGCAGGTCTTTGTGAAAGCATAAGCTTAGATCACATGACAAATAGAGTTCGTGACGCTTTTAATATAAAAAAAAATATTCTGGATTTTATTAATGAAAGTCGCGCTCTCCTCATGACCATTATAGACTGTCACGATAAAGGTAAGGTGCCAGTTATTGATATGTTTTGATATTCGTAACAATAATTGTGCTGTGTTTTTAAGTTTGTGGTTTGGAAATTTTTCGAAATTTATTTATTATTTTCAGTGATAAAGTTCTAGAAGGTTTCGTGTGGCTTTTTTTTTTAAATTACTCTTTCGAATGAAAATTGTGCGTAATGTATGGTGCGACGTCGTCCTTACTGTTTAACCCTACTATCAGACCAAACTCCGCGACTACTACGACCGTCCTAACAACCCGGATCCTCACCAAGATCAGAGATATTTCTTTAGTCGTGGAGGTCGTAGCACGGTCGTGAAGCACGGGTTTATTTTATACCGAAATATTATCAATATAAAGTAACAATTTTGGCAACTGAAAGAACGACAGTCTAAAAGTTTAGATTTAATCAACTCTTTGAAAATACAATTAAAATTAATTTTAAAAAAGGTTTTTGAAATGGACATAACGATAAAAAATAATGAGTGAAAATTGATTTTTTAGAAATGGGTAGAAAAGGTACCATTTAACAAATTTCAACAAATTATAAATTTAGAGGTTTTATTTTTTTTTCTATTTGATGAAAATTGTATACTATATCTTTTGATATAGTATTTGTAAAATTGAATGAAGGCCTACACTTTATACGCATAAATTTGAATATTGCCAACATATGATTTATCTGGGATAGCTACTTTAATTATTAATCATTGCTTTAAAGGAAAGTGCTTGGATAACCTGGAATAACAAATTTTATCATTAGAAGATCGAGAACAAATGCATGAAGAATATTATGGAAAGAAAGTGGTCCAGTTGCTCTTCAGATTTTAAAAGGTTACATGATAAAGGTGTATTGATTCTTGTGATCGACTACATTGATGTGCTTAAGAAACTAAGCATATCAAATCAAGTGTAGATTTATTTGTGGATCTAAACTATATAACTAATCTTTGATATCAAAACCTCGATCAGTTAGGTCACAAAATGTTTGGAATTTCTATGACAATCTTGATCTTTCACTGTCACCTGGTAGTTACGATGACAACTGAAGGATTGGAAACTGGTAGTGGAGGATTAGAAACAACCACATCACCATACCCTGGAAATATAACAATATTGGTTGGAGATGATGCTGTTTTGGACGAGGGTGGGGACGGATTCCGAAACGCTTTGGGTAAGATAAGAAAATATTATTCTTTATAGCAATATGTCATATTGTGGCTATTTCGATTATTCGGTGTTATATTTTTAAACGCCCAAATTATACAAAGTTTTTCATTAAATAATATTTTTCAACAATATCGTAATGTTGTAGAATAGAACTCTTTGATTTAGACAAGAAAATGTTTTTAGATATCAAACTTTTTTCTCTCTTTTTATATACCAAATAAATTTAATAAAATATCCACAAATTAGATATTGAGCAACCTTTATCAAATATCAAACATTGATTATAAAATATCAAACAATGGTTATAAAATACCAAACATTGATTATACAATATCAAACATTCATTATAAAATATCAAACATTCATTATAAAATATCAAACATTCATTATAAAATATCAAACATTCATTATAAAATATCAAACATTCATTATAAAATATCAAGCATTCATTATACAATATCAAACATTCATTATAAAATATCAAACAATGATTATAAAATATCAAACATTCATTATAAGATACCAAACAATGATTATAAAATATCAAACATTCATTATAAAATATCAAACATTCATTATAAAATATCAAACATTCATTATAAAATATCAAACATTCATTATAAAATATCAAGCATTCATTATACAATATCAAACATTCATTATAAAATATCAAACAATGATTATAAAATATCAAACAATGATTATAAAATACCAAACATTGATTATACAATATCAAACATTCATTATAAAATATCAAACATTCATTATAAAATATCAAACAATGATTATAAAATATCAAACAATGATTATAAAATACCAAACATTGATTATACAATATCAAACATTCATTATACAATATCAAACATTCATTATAAAATATCAAACAATGATTATAAAATATCAAACAATGATTATAAAATACCAAACATTGATTATACAATATCAAACATTCATTATAAAATATCAAACATTCATTATAAAATATCAAGCATTCATTATACAATATCAAACATTCATTATAAAATATCAAACATTCATTATAAAATATCAAACATTCATTATAAAATATCAAACATTCATTATACAATATCAAACATTCATTATAAAATATCAAACAATGATTATAAAATACCAAACAATGATTATAAAATACCAAACATTGATTATACAATATCAAACATTGATTATAAAATATCAAACATTCATTATAAAATATCAAACATTCATTATAAAATATCAAACAATGATTATAAAATATCAAACAATGATTATAAAATACCAAACATTGATTATACAATATCAAACATTCATAATAAAATATCAAACATTCATTATAAAATATCAAGCATTCATTATACAATATCAAACATTCATTATAAAATATCAAACATTCATTATAAAATATCAAACATTCATTATAAAATATCAAACATTCATTATACAATATCAAACATTCATTATAAAATATCAAACAATGATTATAAAATATCAAACAATGATTATAAAATACCAAACATTGATTATACAATATCAAACATTCATTATAAAATATGAAACATTCATTATAAAATATCAAGCATTCATTAAACAATATCAAACATTCATTATAAAATATCAAACATTCATTATAAAATATCAAACATTCATTATAAAATATCAAACATTCATTATAAAATATCAAACATTCATTATAAAATATCAAATAATGATTATAAAATACCAAATAATGATTATAAAATACCAAACATTGATTATACAATATCAAACATTCATTATAAAATATCAAACATTCATTATAAAATATCAAACATTCATTATAAAATATCAAACAATGATTATAAAATATCAAACAATGATTATAAAATACCAAACATTGATTATACAATATCAAACAATCATTATAAAATATCAAACATTCATTATAAAATATCAAACATTCATTATAAAATACCAAACAGTGATTATAAAATATCAAACAATGATTTATTAAATATCAAACATTCATTATAAAATATCAAACGATGATTATAAAATACCAAACATTCATTATAAAATATCAAACGATGATTATAAAATACCAAACATTGAGTATAACATATTATAAAATATCATATCATATTAACAATGATTTATCAAATATGAAACAATGATTATAAAATATCAAACAATGATTATAACATATCAAATAATGATTATAAAATATCAAACAATGATCATAAAATATCAAACAATGATTATAAAATATCAAACAATGATTATAAAATATCAAACAATGATCATAAAATACCAAACAATGATCATAAAATATCAAACAATTATTTGTTAAATATCAAACAATGATTTATCAAATATCAAACAATGATTTATCACACAACAGTTGTATTCTCAAGTATACAGGGCAGGTTCATAATGAACAGATAAATAACTATGCAAATAGGGTCATGTATTCATGTACCATGTAAACAGAACAATATGGCATTCCTTGAGTAAAGAATAAAGTAAAGGGCATAAAATTGATCAAATAACATAATTTTGTTTTCAAGTTCTAATTTAGTTATACTAGTATACAGATCTTATTTGTTACGAGCCATTGCAGAAAGGTGCAAATTGGTTGACCTCGAAATCTAAGCCTTTATAGAAAGAGTGCAAGAAATTTAAGGAAATTGTGCTAGTTGAGTGTTAAAGAGAATTTTTCACTCGTTCTTATGTAATGTGAAATTTATGAAATTCGTTGACGGATTAAACATTTCCCGCGCCAGACTGAGTTGCCATATTCAATCCGACAACGAATTTCATAAATTTCATATTACATGAGCACTCGTTTGAAGGTTCATTTTATTCTTGAATATATGTGAATAATCTTCAGAAGTACTACAAATGTACGGAAATCGCGCGCATAATTCCTTTAAAACTACTTCAAACCAAGAATTTTACTCACTTTTCCTTTAATATCTGTCTTTTCTATATATCACAGAGTATCTTAAATTGACAAGTCGTCATTCTAACATCAATTTTATACGCATGACATGACATGGGGGCGTATAATTTCGTCACCAATGTCCGTCCGTCCGTCCACAATTGCTCGTAAATACTCTAGAGGGCACAATTCTTGACTAGTCTGTCTCCAGAATAACAGCAAGATAATCTTGTCTCCCATCTTGTTGGCTTGTAATGTTGTGTAAGTGTATATAAAATTAATAAAATATATAAAACTATCAGCTCATTAGAGGAAA